CTGTTAACCAAAAATATTAGCAAAAAACTCAACCAACCGGTATTCTGAAGTTTTGTTAGCTAAAATTTGCAGACATTTCAATCATGAGTTAGGAAACCAGTGTATATCATGTGTATAGACCATATTTCATATTTTGTAGCGACAGCATTCTTATTATTTTCATGAATTTTTAAACTGCAAAAACAAGCAATACTTTTCATTAAAAATCTAAGTTAAAAAAAAATATTGGAAAGAAGGGTTTTCACCAGAGGTTTTCCATTTTAAGGATCAGCCCTTTAGAATATTGGTGTCTGACAGAGAAAGAAATGGAAGCGATTTACAATTAAGAGAAAATTAAGCTGAAAAATAAGCAGACAGAATGAATTTATTTGGTCAGCTGACTCATACCAGAGCACGCTTAAAGCCTACACTAAAGTCTGGAAAATCAATAAGATTCTTCTGTGGGATTTCCTTTTCCTTGGTCCTTGGAGAAAATCTGTCTATTTAACTATACAGCAACCAGCTCTCTGTTCCTCTTTAGAAGCTCTTGTGCTTGGCTCTGTTCTGTGGAAAACAGCTCCCTTTTATCTTTCACCTAGATGGTGATTACTCCCTGTATTTAAGCGTCTGCATGATGGAAAGATGAGAAAAATATCACACGAGAAGCAAAATCACTCTCTGCATTTCCCTTGTGGAGGAAAACACATCAGAGCCTACTGGCACAGACCATTTTCAGAACCAATTCCTGCCATGTACTCTCTGGATGGCAATTACTGCAGCAGAGTAGTCAAGAAATGATTCCTTGCACTTAGACAACTGCCAGCGCTAATTAAATATTCTTTCAATATCCGCATTTTTCACACAGGTCTTGAGGGTGGCTAAAAGCACTATACATACAAAAGGAAAATCCAGAGAAGATACACAACATCAAACACATTTTTAATCCTTATAAAAGCAGATCTAAAAACACTTCCTTTGTGAATGCATTTGTTTCAACACTCTTGATGGGCTGCTAGTACTACAGAAGATATTAGACACTCTGCAAGAACCTACCTTCTCCTGAACTTCCACATTATGCAATCTTACAGCAGACTAGAACTGGAAATAAAAAAAGGGTAGAGAGGATTCCAAATGCCTGAAAAGGGATAAACTGATTGCACAGTTCAACTGCAGGCTGACACAAGCTCAGATGATCAAATTTATTTAGACAGCAGGCCACAATTGATTTTTCAGGTGATTTAGTCTCCTTGGCATCATTAAAACTTACATATAAAGTAGATTAAGAAGTGTCCTCATGAATGTGTAATTCTGGGTGAAGGACTATTGCAAATCCCAAGAATAGATGTGGCTACAGATTTTATTAGAACACTTATACATTTTTCATGTGTACTAGGTTTCCTTGTCTATTTGTCTGAGCCAACTCCCATATTACTGAGATTCTCCTTCTTAATTTTCCAAACTCTGTCTATAAATATTTTTCTAGGAAATGCAGGAAAGGAGCATCTGGAAAAAAAACTAAACTGATATATAAATCATGCACATAAGAAATGGGTTTTTATTGTCATGTTTCTGTAGTCCCTAGCATAAAGAGACAACCAAATCAATAATTCCTGTGAGATTATTCAGAGGAATTTCAGTCATACCATTTTTAGTAGGAGGACAAACCTAAAAAAACACCTGGACTCTACGAGCCTGAACAAGTAGGCACTACACACACACAAAGGTATCTGCATGTCCAAAGATGCACACAGCAAAATAAGCCAGACCAGCTAGAAAAATATCCCTCAGCAGCTCCATAGCATTAATTCTTCTCAATAAATGAAATGCTTAATCAGCACTTTTGAAAAAGATGGACAACTTAGATGAACGTAGGACAGCAGTAGTGATCAGAACTCCTGATTCATGTAGCTCTGAGAGAGAAATGCTAGAGAAGCCAGGTGATAACGTGTGAGTGCAAGAGGTTATGTGGGTCCTTGTGTGGGACCCTGTCCCATCAAGAGGGCCACATGAGACCTCATCTTCTCAGCTGCCACCACTACTTCTGCAGCCATAGTAATGCTGTTCCTCTCCCTCAGCTGAATCCTCACCCATCTGCTTCAAACCCGAAAAAAAAAGAGAAATTCAGACATGTTCAACAGTTAGGTTTTTTTTCCCTTTGTGGGTTTATGGGGTATATTAGCCTCAACAGAATAAGTTTTCCAGTACTGATGGGACTTGGAGCATCAATCCACCAAAGTTTAACCTTCCAGAGGCAGCACTCTGAAACAAAATCAGTCAAAATGGTGTCCAAATGCTATAAAAAAAGATGGAGGCGGCTGTATTTTAACATCGATAAAATGAGTATATTTTACTCAAGTATCCACAAGATACTTCTGCTAGCCAACATGGGCGGGGGTTCAGTTCTGCTTTTTGTTTTTCAAAGAAGATTCCTGGATTTCTATGAGAAAAATTATATTGTGTTAAAACTGAGAAAGAACCGCTCTTTCCGACCAAGCGTTCTCTCCAGGAAAACATCACAGACAATACCGACACTTCAGCATACTTTCCCTACTTTACTGAAGAAGGCCAGCACATAGAAAAAGTTTGCCAATGCCTCTTTCACCTTTACTCAAAAGCATCCACAGCTGGACTGAGATTTTTGGCATTTGCTGAACACAGGTTACAGTCTGTCTCCTCTCTGGCCTCTGCACAGGGCAGTTTTGCTGCTTTGCAGTGCAGAGTGAAAGAGAGAGGACACCGATACCATGAAAGCATGGCACACAAAAGGTTTCGGAAATTTCTTCAGACTTAACTCTTTTTATTTTGATTTCATTTGAGAGCCACCATTCACCACTAATTAAAGCAGCTCCTGAAATAAAACTGCTCTGGATAAACTTCCAGAAATGCAGGTTAAATTATTGTTTTACCCCTTTACTCAAAACTTCTGAGCCCTCACTGTTAATTCAGACACTGGCAGGTAGTGCTGTCTTTCAGTCCTGTTATGCAACCTGGCTTCCAACATGTGCAAGAACTAACATGTTTCTCCAAATGTATTTGCTTTCCCAGGCTCCTGCCTTCTCAGCAATGTGAGGTACTTTGTATGGAGTCATCTCAATTTCCTTTGAAACCCCGTTTTTCTAAATACTTAGATTTTTTTCAGAGATAAGAAAAGTCAGTTGTATATTTATCTTGAGCTATCAAACACACTAAAAAGAGTCTATCTGAGATTCCAGGCACCATGGCTAAATAATAAAAATACAGTCAGTCTTATGCAAACAAATGTGTAAACACACCAGTTGCCTCAAAATCTCAGGGCAAAAAACTATTCCTGCCACAGGTTCCCCAGAAAACAAACCAACCATGGGTTGGTGCAGCCCTTCCCACTCTGAAAACATCAGGCTTTGCTTTAAGTCCCTAAATATTGGACAATCCAAATGACAATTTTTTTCAGTCACGGTCTTTTCTGATGTTTCCACTAATATAAATACTGCAGCTGTTCATTGTTCTGGATCTTGACAACCCCAAGCATAGATTTATCTTTCAATCCTATCTTTAAATCTATAATTTTAAATCTGTAACTGTACAGTTTTATATGGATTGAGATTTTTTTACAGATTTATATAGATTTACTCCTTTCTAGAAATGGCTGTTTGATATCAATCATTAGGACAAAACATATCTCCTGTCTTCGGTTTCTTTTCCACAGCTTGACTAATGCATCAAATTGCCTATATTTTAACAAGGAGATACTGTATATCTGAGACATAAAATAGCACAGCCCTTAGTAGAAGTTCACATTCTTCACCTTGCCATCTTTTACCCATTTGAAGCAAATATTTTCTATCACCATGTGTCAATAAAAACTAAGAGCCAATAAAACAGCCTAGCTTGCATTGTGGGGCGCTGTTAAACAGAAATACATCAATGACATCCAGTTTCTATCAGGCACAGTGTGTGTAATACAGTAGAAGACAAAAAAACCTCATTTACCAGCAATTAATTTTCTCCATAAAATAAATAATAATTAAAAAAAAAACACAAAAAGAAAACAAAACTATGTTTTTACTCAGACATCATTGAAAAACTAAGGTTTAAACCACCAACATTCCTTTAAGTATAAATCTTCAAATCTGACAGTTGTTTATTAGTTGATTTCCCTCTTTTTTTGTAATTACCTGTTTGCTTTCGCTGTTTTAGATTCTAGGACAACGTCATTTCTACGCAGACTAAATCAGGCAATATTAAATGCTTTTCGTGATTCTCAGGCAAGGCATTTTTAAAGTACAAAGCAACAGCTATTTTTGCTGGCTGACATAGTCTAGAGCCCAAAGACACATTATTCCACCTTCAGAAAGGCAACAGCTGGACCACACGATGGTCCTTACTATAACCCCTGTCTCACCACAGCCCCTTTGCCTGGGGACGAAAGACAATTCCAAGATCAGAGTGATTGAGCTTGCTGCACTTGCTACGGCTCCTGCAGCCTCTGGGAACAGATGCCACTCACTCCCAAACAACCTTTAGCAACTATTCCTTCAGCAACCTTCTACACTTCCATTTATGTCCTCAAAATAAAAAAAAACCAACAAACTCAACAAGCAGGAGAAGCCAAACCTAGGCAGATCAGCTAGATGTTCCTTACGCTCGGTCAATCACTCCTTCAGAGAAGCCCACCAGCCACATCAGAAAAGAGTAACTTTTCCAAAGCAAAGGAACCAAATGAAGACAACTTCAAGGTGGAGAAAAGACAACTCTTTCCCCCAGTACTTAGCAAAAAGCATTTCCAATGCTCTTAGACTTCTCTGCTCTGTCTTACAGCCCTCTCCAGACAGAGGAGCAGAGACAGTCAGAGCAGAGCCCATTACATGAGACACAGCTCTCAAGAACACAGACAAACCATGGGATGAGCAAGGCGCTGGGGCCGAAGGATGAAAGAATCTTTGGAATAAGAAATCCAAAACCTTAAAAACAGGAGCAAAACAAATGCTTGGAAATTTAACCCAACAGCTGAAATAACCCTGCAACGACATAGCTCTTCTTACCTTTGCCATCTGCGCCTGCACGCCATTTGCTTTGAGAGATGCTACTGCTTTCTGTGCAGCTGCGGGACTGTCAAAATCTACAAAACCATAACCTGAAAAATAAAACAGATAAATACAGATTTTCAGTATTATCCATATGTATGAGCACAGATAAAGATTTCATTTTCAAAAAGAAGGCAAATCTTTCCATTCTCTCACACTGTCTCATAATCAGTATCTCTGCCACCACATCTCTATTTGTCATGTCTTTTCTCCTGAATCTAATGGGGTTTAAGGGATTGCAGTGACCTGAAGCTTCAAAGTGCCAGAAGACATACAGCAGAAGGGGAGTGCAGGCAAGTTTTTGTCCTAACAGATTGAAAGTCCCTGGCAGCAGAAGGGCACACATGTTCATGGGACTCCAGTGCTCTGGAGTCCTGCCCCATCTCTTCCATAAGAGGAGGTAACATTATGGACCTTCCTGGGATACAAGGCCACAGCTTGCAATGGCTGGTTTCATGAGAAAACACCCCTTCTCCTGTCCCTTAAACCCACACAAGGATTAAGCTTCAGAAGAGGGCAACAAGTCTCTGTGGCAGGCTGGGGCCATGTGTGCAGGAGCAAGAAGAGCAGCCTTCCAGCAGGTGGGACCAATTCAGGAAGAAATCCCAAAGTGGGCTCTACAGGCAACTGCCAGATATCTCTAGACGATGGTGAGATAGCAAAGTCTCAGCTTTGGTTAAACCACATCCCTTTCATCCCACTGCTCTCTCTGCCGGAACAAGGGACAGATCTCTGCCAGGAATTGCTTTGGGATATCATCTGAACAACAGCTTAGAGTTAGATCTTAGGGATTGGCAAGGGATAATCATCTGCTTTTAAGTGGCTTTCTTGCTCCCAGTATTTGCATTAGTTTAGTATATTAATCAGCCAGTCACTTCCTATCTTCTCTTCCTCCCTCTCCATATTTTTGTTCCTTTAGCCAGCAACACTGGTACGTTCAAGCGAGCCCAGCGCTGTTAAAGCCCTACTGGATAGCAACAACTCTGAAAGCATTTTTATTTTCCTAAAGACATAAAGGAGGGGGAAGAGGGCAAGGAATAGACTTCACAACTTTTAAAGCACTGAGCTCTCTCTGATCTTCAACAGCATTCAAATATCTTGCTCATAAAGATTTCAACTGAATTAGGAAGATCTAAAAATCTCACCAAGCACCTATTTAAGCAGCTGCATATATTTCACAATCCATCCAGGGAAAACCCCTACATCTTATTAAGCAATTACAGTGCAGGTAGGCATGTGCTGCTCAGACAAGCTGTGGCCAGGGGCCACATCTTTGGCATCTCCCTGGAAAGCCATATGGATGAAACTGAACCGCCTGAAAGCTTTAATAATATTAGCACAAGCATATTTATAGCTTCTTTGCAGACATCTCCATTTACTAGGTCAATACACATCCTACAGGAGGCAACCACAGATATTATTTCCTGCTGTATCCATTTGTATTTCTTTTCTCAGCCTTTCTTCCTACTCCTGGGGGACTTCATTGCCATCCTCTGCATCAAATCTAGGTATAAAAGTGTCTGCTTGAGATCACCTTGTCCCCCAAATTACAAACATCTCTATTATTATTTTGGTATGCATACATTGCTCAATGCAGGGGTTAGTCCAATCATGAAAGAATTGTGTGTGCGTGGATGTTTTTGTTTCTTGGCTTAAATCTCATTCACAAAGTTTTAAGAAAATCAAAAGAAAAAAGAAACGGACAAAGTTATTAAGGAGCTAACTTAAGGATGTGAAAAGCACTATTCTGTAGCAAAGTCAAGATCTGAACCTTTCTTTGCTCAGTTTTCTATTTTGGTTTGTTTGGTGGAGGGTTTCTTGTTGTGGGGAGGACTGGGGAGATTTTTTTATAGGGCATTACTACAGATTGAGGGACACTGTGATAAAGACACTGACAGATTGAGGAGCACTGTGAAAACAAATCTAATAAACACTAGAGTTTGATCAACTCGGGGATATGAGGAGTGTTTGACCTTCTCTGATTCTCTCATTTGATTTTCCCTTTTTACTGCAAGCCATTTTTAAATCAGCTTGTCCTACATCTCATTTTCCTTTGCAGTGCTATCCAAGCACTCATCTCAATGCAGAGCAGCAGTAAATCTGATGCTGTTTTGAACTAAAAAATATGCTACAAGAGAGCAAGAGTCCTCCCTGGATTTCTCCAATGCCTTTGCCCTCTGGGAGAGAAACTTCTGGGAGGAGGAAGGAGATGCAATTAGATGCAACTTCCATTTTCCTATATGAGGGATCCTGACAAGAAGCCAGAGCTGTCAAATGGGAAATCTGAAATGTCTTGGGAAGTGATGGGATGGCTTGAATCAAACACTAAGAAAATTAATTTTTACAACTGTGAGGTGGTCTTCTCAGGGAACTAAATTGGTTTTAATTTCTCACCATTTCCATGCCCAACAATTAGGAGGTAAAAGTGCAAAAAAAGTAATTTTAACATTGTCATTAAAAACAGATAATGGAGTTAGATTTTTATATTTAGCACCAGTGTACAGTGCAGGCTTCATGTATGAAGGAATAGAAAAGAAATTATTTTTAATATGACTATCTAGATAGCAAAGTAATTATTCACATCTAAGTTAGTTTTGCTTGTGAATAAAAACCAGACTGTGTAAGAATATTCCAGTATTGTATCATAGATATCAGGTATTTCTAGCATAATAAATTATTGAAGAATAACATCAGTCCATAATATCTAAATCCATTAATATCTTCTAAGCATTCTTTCAGTGGGCACAAGAGGCTATATGACAATATCAGAGATCCAGTGGAGTCTTGATACAAAAAAACTCACATCTTTAGCTGCCCATTATGCATTCTAGTATTACTACTCCCAGTCTGGCTGCAAAGCTGTTCTTTTTCCTTCCCTCAAGCTCATTTCCATTCCAAGTATCTTCTTCTAGCCCTCCCCCCTCCTGACACATCTCTCCACCACACACAGAACATCAGGACAAAATCACTCCATGGCTGAAAACCCGTCCAAAGAACATCAATCTGCTGCAAGGGAAGCCAAGTTCCCAGGCTGTTTCAGCATTCAAGTATCCTTACAAGAACCCTGCAATGCTATAGAACAGAAAACCAGGCATGTTGCCTTTTTGTACAGTTTCCGTTCTTCCACGTAGATGTTTATAGCCTGTGTTAGTGACCTACGCTAACATATTTCATTTGTTTATAATCTCACTTCATTTTTTGTGTCTCGGGTACTAACTATATAGTGTTGGATTTTCTGTTTGGGTTTTGGGTTTTTGTGTTTTTTTGTTGGTGGTTTTTTTTTGGGTTTTTTTTTATTTACTTATCTGGGTGGATGAAGTTTAGCCCCCACAAAAGCTAAAACTGGGTCTTGGATCATCCTCTCCAGTGTTCTCCAAAGTGTAAATGAAGCCTCAAACTCCCTGTGCTGAGATTCAAACTCCCTGTCCTTCCCTCTTGTCCAGGCTGTAGCTGAAGTGGGTTGTGCTCCCCGCCAGCAGAACTGGGCTGCTGCTGCTGCCCCTGGCAGGTGAACTGTGGCTGGGTTTGGCTGCTCCAGCATCTATCCCTGCTCTGCTCCCTGGCTCCTCCTGGGAAAAGGTAGGAAAATGGTTGGAATCATCTCCTGGGATGAAATTCAAATCAGGGTCTGCCAATCAGACACTGCTCTAAGAAAACATCTACATTTCTTTTTCCTCCTTTAAAAATAAGTGCAAGCCCCATCAGACTGTCTCTCTGCTAGACTCAAATTCCACAGCTTTTTTGTCTTTTCTTTCCCCTGCATTTTTATTGTGTGTTCACTGCCTTGTAAACATTCTGGTCAATGGATTATATATATATATTTATTTTTTCCCCCACTTTTTATGCAGAACATCATGAAAAATAAACTCAGATTCTAAACCAGGACCTTCAGACTGTGCTTACAAGAATCCATCACCACCACAGGAAACCAAAACCAAAACTATTTCCCCTTTTTTCCTGAAGCATCCTGACATTTTCCTTTAAGAACTCCAAACACAAATAAGGAAAGCTGGTGGTTCCCTGCTGCTTTGAGAGATGGGAATTGAACTTATCCTAACAGGAGCCCTTCACCTCAAGTGTACTTACACTGAGGGTGACTTTGGTACTCCAATGCTACAAGTCCTCCAAGATCCTGAGGGGGTTTTTTGTAGGTAGGATTTTTGCATATTACAAGTTCCTACATGCAAGCACACACACAAAGAAACCCAAGACAAGACTATCCAGAACAATTGTTAAACCTTTCCTTTAAGAAATACAATGCCTGTAATTTTGTATTGGCCTAATGCCACTACGGCTAAATAATTAAATTTTAAAAATAAAACCAGTATTTTTTTATTTATTTTTTTTTTACCTGTGGGGGAAAGAAAACAGCTAAGCATCAGCAAACTCAAGTTTATAGCTAGTTGCAATAAGTGCTACCCAAATACACTGGCAGACACTAAACCTCTCCATCTCCTATAACCTAAATGGCTGGGGGCCTCCCGGTCTCAGTTTCTCTGTTCCATAATTAAGCTTGGCAGCACGTACAAATGAATTAAAACTGAATGTCACTATTTCCTCAACAAATCCCTCATCCTTGTTTTTTCTTACTTGTCAGGAGAAGACCAGCAGAACAGCAATTAGTGGTAAGCAGTGCAGTGAAAAAGAACCAAGTATACACTAATTAGGTCACTCGCCAAACACGTTCATTTCATTGGCAGATTTAATCAATGTTTTCCTGAAATGTCTTAAATCTCCTATGCTAATTTAAAGTTTTGTTATTGTTGTTACTTTAAACACAGATGGGATGCCTGGAGATTTTCAATTGCTTTCCACAAATCCATTTCAAAATAACAACCCCTCATATAGAATATCATCAAAATTTCGGCACAGGTTTTAGGAAATGGCCTCTAATTTTATGCCAACGTTTTTTCTGCCTGCAAGTACCTATGGGTGCAATTTTGTGGATTTAAGTAATTGCAGGTGTGTAGAGGTCTTAGACATCAAACTCTGAATTGCCCTGATGGATGGAGTACTTAGGGGTAATGCCAAATAATTTAAGGGACCGCCA